TTTGCTTGTTTGTTTGTAACAGTGAGACTGGAGGACCACAAACCAAGTGGTAGGAAGGAAAATAAATAGGGAGAGTTTGGTCCAGAACCCAGAAAAAGATTACTGTTCATCAAGGAACTCCTAACTGTCGGTTCGTGGGGCAAAACATGAGGTTCAAAAGCAGGCTCAGACTGCAGGTGCAATGTTATCTGGAGTATAATTACACTTTACGTTGGGAGAGCTCTTTCATGTTCAGCAGAGTTGATATATCTACCCTTATCACGTAAACACACACACATTATCAAATTCAGTATCATGAATACAACTAACTTTAAGACTCTTATCTAAAATACTTTTACTGTGCAAATTTATCCCTACCTTCTCACACACTTAGCCTTCAAACTCGTACCTCTCTCTTCTCTCTTTTAAATACACACACACACACACACACACACACACACACACACGAATAATTTACTAAGTAAAAAAGAAGAAACATTTCTGGAGGGAAGACATAACACAAGATATAGATTATAGACCTAGAATCAGGTCCTCCTTAGCCATTAATTGTAGTGGAAAAATTAGAAACTAATCATGTACCAAGGATGTAAGTGTTACTGAGGAGCCTAAAACACAGATTATAGCCAATATGGAAAAAATATTGTATTTTTGCAAACTCTTACTGCTAAATGTGAAAAGTACAGACCCCCAGAGGAGAAAATTCAGCATGCACTGTCATGAAAAGTAACATTTGGTCAACATCAAATGATCAACAGAGAAGCATTGTCTCCATAATCCCAGGCTACATCCCCAGAGCCTTGGAGCTAATTGAGTCTCTCAGGTCCTCTTCTGTAAAGAATCTCATCTTACCTTGAGCACTTGCCAAGACAGAGAAGAGGAGAAAAGCAAGCTGACAGAGAAAGTGGTTTCCCTGCATGGTGACTCTAATCCTATGCTTGCAGGTCAGAGCCTCAGCTTCCTCAGCCAATATGAGATGCATTTCCAGCCCATAATAGAGAACCTAGAGCAAGAAGGGAGCTATATATTCCTACTCTCTTACATGGCTGTCTCCTGTGGGCCAATAGAAAATCATTTAGCATCTTTTTGCATTGTCAGAATTTATACAAAGGAAACCTTCTGAACTTCAAACACCAATTAGCTGCTGAGTCTTAAATACCTCCTTATATGTAATAGAAAGATTTCTCTCCTAAGGTGTTATGCTGTCTCCAGAGCTCTAGAAAAGCTACATAAAGTGTATACGTGGCTTTCTTTTCTTCACCTCTTAGTTTGGCTCAAAAGCTAGTGGGATTGGGCTTGTGTCTCTAGTCCAACTCCACTTCTCTGTGTTCCTAAGGAAAGATACCTTTTATTTAATGAGACCAAACACCCCATCATCAAAAGAACGTCGTGTTGTGGCTGCAAAAAAATAAAGACATACCGTAATTACTGATAGAATAGAAGGTCAGGTGAGTAGGAAATAGATATTAGAAGGCTTAAATTTTGGGAGATTAAGAGAAGAGATGTTTTTGACAATAGGAGGAAATTAACATCAAAATCATAGGTAGGATTTTCTCTCCTTTCATTTCAGGACATCAGTAAAACTGCTTGGAGATTTAAGGCTCTATTCATGACTGACTTCATAACATTCTCTCATTCTCCTTTCTTCACATTTCAGAGAACATTTTGGTAGCAGGAAAGTCATGACTGGCATAGATACTTCACCCAGAATGAATTATCCTTCATTAGAATATAGAGGGACCACAGGTAAAAAGTAGATACAAGGTGAATCCTATGTTGTGATATAGAGCAGTTTGCTCCTCAGATTCCAGTGTTCTCTGGCTGGATAGTGTGAGCTCTCTATTCCTGGTCCTCCTTATCAGTATTTTTTTGTGCTATCCAAGAAAAGCACAGTAAAAGATGAGCTTCTATAGTGTAAAGAAAGAAAACCTATCAGATGGGTTGCGAGTACAAGTAGAAGGGGTGGAAGATGAGCAAACTTTAACAGTTGTTGAAAGTAATATCTGAAGGTTTAGGAGGAGATTGCCTGTCACTCTGCAAGACTAGAAAGCAATATGTGCCGACCAAATAGCTCAATGTATTAAAGCGCCTGAAAGCCGGTGCAGGGGCCAGGGTTCAATCCCCGGGGCCTGTAACGTGGCCCCATCCCAGGGGCACATTGAGATGAAAATTGAGATAGGGCGTGGTGGTGCGAGCTTATAATCCTAGCTCTTGGGAGGTTGTAAACTATAAGTCTGAATCAATAGTGAGACCCTGAACACCCTGTAGTCCCTTGCCTAAAATCAAAAATATAAAAAGAATAGAAAGCATTCTGTATAGAAGCAGAGCACATGGAGTCTGGAGTTTTACTCTCATTAGGGACTTTGAGAAGGCCAAGGGATCCCTGAAGAATAAAGTAAAGTAGAATAAAAGAAAAAAGTTGGAGCAGAAAGTAAGGATTGATGCAGAGATGATCTTAAACCATGAGGATAGAAATTTATTTCAGTTGCTATAATGATGATTTTATATTTTGAGAAAATTCCATTTCATTACTTTATCATGCTCCTCTGCCCAATGTATGAAGCAGGGAGACATGAAGAATGTACCTTTGAAATCATAAACGTGTGAGTTAAGGAATATTCATGTTTTTAAAAAGTGTTACAAGCCTGTAGAATATTTTTTCAGATCAGTCAGCTCTGACTCAGACAACTTGACTAAATTTGTACTTGAGAAGTAGTCTTCTGCTTTTATTGAATGTAGTATTCTTCCTTATTAATGGCTGTTACATCAAGGCAATTGAAAGTTTTGTACATTCTGTAGAGACACTGTTGCTTTGTTTAGTTAACTACTGGATAAAAATTTTAAAACATCACACCTAAGACTATAATGTTGAACCTATGTCTTCAAGAATTTTGACACTGTTTCATTATTCACATAAACAGTAGTTTTGTTTTTCTGAAAAAATTCCCTTTGCCATTATATGATGTTCTTTAATTATCATCATATCCTTTCTTTGAGAGTCTATCTTTCTTCTTATTAATAGAATTAAACAAATTTTTTAGGACTAATGTTCACGTGTTGTATATCTTCCATGCTTTTTTCTTAGTATATATTTGTCAATACTTATTATTTAGCTTTATTAGTATATACTTGTCTTATACAACACTTACATTCACCTTGGACAATTGGTACATATGCATATCACATCATGATCATATTTACTACCTTTCCCAAATTCTTTATTTTCCCTCCTTCCCTAAAATACTTTCCCATCTGTAGATTCTACCATCCTGTAATTTAATGTTTGTTTTATATTTTTTCTTTAAGTTATTTATTCTTCATTGTTTGTTCATGTTAGAAAAGCTATGTAATATTTAATCTGTATCTCGTTCATTTCACTTAGCATTATGGTTTCTAAATCTGTCCATTTTTTCCTGCAAATGATTTAAATAAGGTTTATTCTTGGCTAATTGGAACTTCATTGTACATATACATTATATTTTCTTTACTTGTTAATCTGTAAAGTGGGATTTTCACTAAGCTTATGTTTTGGTAGTGTAGCTGTGCTAGTATACACATGAGCATGTACTTATTATCATTGCAACATGGTGAGCTTAACTCATTGGTTTTTCAGGAGTTTAGTTTCCACATTTATGGATTTTAGTAGTTCCTTGTGTCAATAATTTCTTATTTCCTCACATTATGGTCAGATAATGTGCATGAGATAATTTCAATTCCTTTGTATTTATTTAAGCATGTTTTATGGACTGGAAAATGGTTTATTTTAGAGAACATGGTATGTGGATCTGAGTAGAATATGTATTCTAATGCTTTTGCATGGAGACTTTTAAAATCCCCTTAGATGATTTGCCCACAAGTTTGATTCAGTGAGGTGACTGCTTTGCTGGTATTTTTCTGGTTCATCACCCTATTTGTGACAGTGTGGTGTTAAGGTCCCCCACTACAATTTTGTTACTGTGTATTTGATGTTTCATTTCTATTGAATCAGTCTTATTTGTATTAGGCAAATATGAATGCTTCCACATTTGGCATATATTCACTGAGGTTTCTGGGGTTCCTGAAATTACTGAAATGTGACAGGTGGTTTTTCAGCATCGTCTCATTGTGCTCAACAAGGTTCCCTGGATGGTGGAGAGGTGCTTGGCAGGGTTTCTGTCATCATCAGGATTTTAATCTTGAATGGATGTCAGATTTTTCCAAAGGCTTTTTTGACTATCTGTCAAGATGATCAAATCATTTCTATGCTTTCTTGTTTATACAACTTTTTTTTAATCATAAATATTTGATGATTTATTGGTTGAGTTATAAGTACAACAGAGACATATTTTGCTTGTATTTACATATTAAATATATTGATAATTCATGAAAGCAGAATTCTATACTGAAGTAATGGCATCAGGAGAGATCAACAAAAATCACTACCATTATCCCATCTTACTGCCTTTTAAGTTTGAGCATAAGATAAAAAA